GCTGAAGGGGCTGCATTCTGAAACCACTGAGTCGAGAGGACATAGCACAGCAGCTGCCCTGCTCTTCCCAGCCAAAAATATCTGACACTATTCAGGGGTGGGAATTCCCAAAGCATGCAGGACTGTTGCTATTGCGAAGGAAAATTGCTGAATGCCACAGCATCCAAGGAGATGGGGCTCAGGGCAATGCCAGATGATTCTGAGAAAAAAAATCCATGTGAAATCTTCCTTTTCCTTTGAATGCTGCACTGGGAGTGAAGCTGGCAATGCCCAGAAATGGGTTGCTACTGAAAACCAGGGCAGGCACTTTCCTGAGGTGCTACAGCCCTGGAAGTCCCTGGTGATCAGCACTGTGCCAGCTGCTTCACACACTGCTGCCCAGGGAAGAAAAGACAGAGCAGGGACTTCCATGAAATTCTCAGAGAAACACACAAAGGGGAGGGGAAAAGAAAGAAAAAAAGACTTCAAACTCCTGCTCCCAGCTCCAGAACAAATAGCATTTTCTCATCCCTCTCATCTCTTTGATGGGAAAGAAATTAGAACCACAAAAAATAATCCTTATCCCTTCTACACAGCCTTTCATCTGCAGAGCTCAAAGCTCTTTCTATATTAATTCATTAAGTCTGGTAACACCCCTGCAAGGGCTGGAAATATTACTGTGTGCAACTTGAGAAATAAAGCGACAGCCCAGAGGTTAAACAAGCCAAATTTGGTCAAAAGGCCATGGAAGCAGCCATGTCTCTGTGTGTGTGTCTCCCACCAGCCAGTGCTGAGCTGCAGGACAGGAGGGGCTGGGGCTGCAGAAGACCACTGCTGGCCATCAACCCCCATGCCAGTGACACCACTGTAGACACAGAAGGGGAAACAGAGGGTTTTTAAAAGGTTTGCTCCAAGCCAGGAGGAAAGCCAACGAGTCTCCAGCCCTGCACAAGTACTAAAACATCCTCCCTCAGGCAAATGCCATCAGGCAGCAATGGAGAGCCAGCTCTGCCCCAGGATATGCTGGAGGCTGCCCGAGAGCCTGACTCATACCTGAAAGTATCTTCAGATCCTAGGAGGAATATTCAAACTGCTTCCCTTCTCATTCAGTTTTATGGAAAACATTTCTTTGCTAAGTAATAAATACACAGAAAAAAACCAGTCACACCTTTGCAGCTCTCAAAGCAAACCAGCATCAAGACAAACCCAGTTACAAATGGTGTTCCAGCCAAGGTGTGAGAAATTCTTGTGAAAAAGCAACTCTCCCACCACAACAAACAGGCTCTGCATGCTGAGAGATGGATCCAGGCAGCAAGGGAAATTAAACCTCACCAGAAGGCAGAAAGGGCTGAGATGCATCAGCAGCCACAAATAATTGCCCAGAGAAGATGGTAAGAAGCAAATAAAGGCAAGGACTGCCTCCTTTGGTGGGTGTTGCCCCTATTATTCCCCAGCAAGTCTGATGCCAGGTGGGAGCTGGCTGTGGGGGAGGCCCAGGTGCACAACAGGGCATAGACAAGGAGGTGCAGCAATGAAGTTTTTGGCACTGAAGGGTGGGGTAGCTCTCCAAAATGCACTGTTCTAAACAGGCAGGAACCACAGCATAAACACTCCTGAACAACTGATTTATTTTTAGCCAAACAGGGAACAACGTGTGGACGTAGCAGGGAAGGACAGGATCCTCCCTGGCCCCTGCAGTAATCAGCTCATGTCCTGAGGCATAAGATTTTACTATTTCTGATCAAAGGTTCTTTAGCTATATTACACAGCCAAATACCATGTAGCCCGTTTCAAAATCTTAGTTACAGGTAATTAACTCTATGGCCTCTGGAGTAGGCTTCTTTCTGGAGGATTTTTAACCTACATTTTATTTTGCTCCTTCATCTCTCTAGTGCTCCCTGTCTCATGGGTATTTTCTTAGGGATTTTAAATGGGGTTTTTGGTTGTTCAGTGGTTTGGGTTTTGGGGGAGTCAGGGGGTTTGTTTGGTTTTGGGGGGGAAGTGGTGGTGTTTTGGGCTTGTTTTGTTAAGATAAAGGCATTGGTAAATGAACTTTTTAAAGGACATAAAGACCTTGAGGCCATTATTTCAAGCTACTGTGAAGAGCAGCTGAAAGTGTGAAGAAGAAATTCTTTATTCTAAAGGAGAATACTGTTGTTTTTTTTATACCAAGCTACCAAGGTCCTTCACACAAAGACTGCTCATGGTGTCCCGGCAGTAAAACCTACAGACCGCCTGACACCTCCAGCTCATAAAACAATTAGCATATGTGCCCAATCAATTTAGCAAGTCCATTCCAATGTTCATGGCACCCACGTGAGGAATAAATAGTATACTAGATACATCTCAGTTTTTGTTCTTCACCAACCCCTCCTCCCCAATGGCAGGGGGAGCTGCCGGCAGCGCTCCCGGACTGCCGCCCATGCAGGAAACTGGGAACAGGGACACAGCTGCCATGCAGTAAAGAGCACTGAGCCTCTTGGGACAGCCTAATGCCTCCTGATGGAAG